TGAAACGCATTTTTCAAGGCGCTTGTTTGACTGGGTTGTCCCATATGTCAGAAATCGATCTTCATAGCTCTTTCCCATGTATAGTTTCGACGAATCTAAATAGAAAAAAAAAGAAATAGCTATTTATAAAATATTTTTACACTTACACTATTTGTTTGATATTGAGCTAAAGATAGAAAAATATAAGATTTATAAAGACCTATGTGAAACGATATATTCACTTTGAATACATTGCATCAATGGACCGAAATAAAAGGAAGGAAATAATCACAGAGAAAGTTTTGATACTTCCATTTTCATTTTGAATTTTTAATGCAAGTAAATAAAAGAAAAGATACAAATATATAAGTAAATCACCCTTATTTTCCATTATGTGTGGCTACTGACCTAAATTAAAGACAAGCTGAAATTATTTTTGAAATGTTATTACTTACATTATTTTGAGCTTATTTTCAGTCAAGTAAAGGAAGAATATAAATATATTGTAGCAAAATGCCTACTTTAATTTGTTCTTTTGAATGGATGTAAAAACAAACTTTTTTTCTAAAATACCACAGCGAGTTTGGAATAAATCCTCAATCACCATAATATCTTTCAGATTGATTTAACTCAAAGTTTTTGTATGAAGTTGCTCACGTGAAACCATCTGATTTTGATTTTTAAACAATGTACGGACTGAAGTTTAGCTCGAAATGATTCAAAATCTATTAGAGAAATTAGCGCCTCTTTATCATACCGTTATGTTTTACAAAACAGGCACAAAATGAAAAGTGCATCGATGCATGAATGGTAGCATTGTGAGAAAATGATTGGATTAATATGTTTATTACATGAAACTGTTTGAAGTACCCTGTCAGAAATTTTCATGATATATATATATAAGTTGAAAAAGTGTGATCCTTTGAACGAAGAATAAAAACCCTTTTTGATGATGGAGTAGAACAATAAATCCCTCACTGTAGAATAAAATACCCTTAGTACGAAAGTAATAAACCCTTTTATTGAAACCGTAGAGTAAAGTACCCTTTCATGAACAATTATAAACGCTCACCCTTGAATATTTAAACAAAATACCCTTTTTTTACAGTGTACAATATATTATGTTCGAAAAGAGTCATGAAATAAAAGTAGTCATCATAACTTGAACGAAGTAGTTATTTTGTCAGACTTTCTTCTAGCATAGTTTCTATAGCATGCATATTCACAGTCGCAATAGATGAGAAAAGTAGATTAACGTTCACTCAAAGAAACAAGGGTATGGATGTGGATAAGAGCGAGATTGACACTCACACCCACACCCTCAAGAATGGACTTTTACTCATAAGTGCTCTGACGAATTCATAGCTTTATTTATAGGGTGTGGGTGTGGGTGTAAATCTTTCATTAACACACCCTCACATCGACACTCTCAGGTGTGGGTGTGGATTAGACTGTTGATCTTCTGTCCCATGACAGCTCACACCCACACACTTGAATTTTCTTAAACAATTAACAGAACCAATTAAACGAGATAAATGCGAATCGATAAAGCATCGAACATTGAACAACCCTAGGTCGAGAAATCATATGAAAATAGAAACCTTAATGAACTCAGGAGTCAGATACTACTATATAAAAGCCCTACATCAGCACATGTTGGAAGATGTTCGAATATGATACGCTGAATCTATACTTCGACATAGACATCGGCAGGGCCCTAGTGGGGCAACAATTACCTCAAACATTTCTTGCGTTGGTTTGACAATGGACGAAAATGAATCTGTCTATGCCGGCGACAAAAACACATGGCGTGAAACAATATAGAGTTGGTTATAATGGAGGAAGAGTAGTTGCAGGTGCCAATGGAAAAGGAAATCGTCTCGATCAACTCGATCATCCCCACTGTGTATTTGTCGATCACGATCATTCAGTGTGTGTGTCTGATAAAAATAAGCATCGTGTAATGGTTTGGGAAGACAATGCAAAACAAGGTACTGCCTTCACTGGTAGTCAATGACCAGGAAACAGTGTATCAAAATTGAATTTTTTCTAATGAAGTAGTAGTCGATCGATTGGGCACTATTTATGTAGCTGATGCAAAGAATCTTCGAATCATGCGTTGGCCAAAAGAATCCACACAGCGAAATATCATTGCTGGTGGAAATGGTGATGGAGGGCAGTCGAAGCAATTGTATGTTCCGTGGGGCTTATCATTCGATTGTCAGAGGAATGTCTATGTTGACGAATTTTGCAATGAGGGCGTGAGAATGTAGGTGAATAAGAGGGTGGGGTGCCAGCAGGTGTGAATATGAAATAGAATATTCGAAAGTAAAATTATTTATTTTAATTGAAACCAATTTCAAATTTTTGAATTCGATTATTTACTGAATCAGCAACATAAAGATTTCTTTGTTGGTCAAATGATAAACCCATTGGATAAAACAACTGATTCGATTCGTTTCCATATCCATTTCCACCCACAACGATACTTCCTTTTTTTGCTCCTTCGAGCCAACACATTACCCGATTATTTCCCCGATCTGCCACATAAATTTGATTAAACTGATCAACAATAATTCCTTGAGGATCAGATAATTGTTTAAAACTATTTCCTTCTCTGTTTCCTCCAGCAACAATAATTCCTTGTTTTGCATATTTTAACCATTTCATTACACGATGATTTGCACAATCTGATATATACAATGAACAATCGTTATCAACAAAGATAAAACTAGGATGATTAAGTTGATTTAAATTTTCTCCTTTCCCATTTCCACCTGCAACTAATTTTCCATTTTGATCTCCTATTTTCCATTTTCTTATTTCATGTTTCTCACAATCAGAAACATAGATAAATCCATATTTATCAATTGCTAAACCGTAACAATTTATATTAGAAATAATGATTTGTCCATTTCCACTATTTTGACGAGGCCATTTCATTATTCGTTTATTTCCATAATCACTAATAATAAAAGAATCATTTTCTCTGTCAATAATCACATCTTTTGGATAAATCAATTGATTCATTTGTTTTCCTTTTCCATTTCCACCAGCAAGAGTTTTATTATCATTTTCATTTAATTTCCATTTAATAATACGATCATTTTCAGAATCAACAATATAAATTGTTTTATCATCATCATTATCAATGAATATACTTGAAGGACTCTTTAGTGAACGTAATTCATTTCCTTCAGCAATATCAGTTCCAAATTCTTTCCGTTTCATATCTAAATGAGAATAACATCTTTAAAAAAATGTCTGACTTTATTCATTTACAACTAAGTTAGAGTAGCCTATACGGATTTCAGTTTCAAGCCATTGATTCATATTGTTATGGTCTAGCTTAGCAAAAAAAGGATTTTATTAATGCTAATGAAAACAAAAGTTTGAAGAAAACCCCAATCTCAAATATCATGGTGAACTCTGTTGAAAATGTTATGTTTGAATGAATAGTAGCATGTGGAAAGGGTAGGTGTGAGTAAAGATATTCAGCCAGTAAATTCTACTTTGATAGAAAACCAAAAGATATCAAATTGAATCTCTAAACTGGCATCGACACTTAGAAGTGTCAGTGAGACTTTTGTGGAAAAGATAAAGAAAAGAGTTCTTAACTTTTTCCCACCGGACGCTGCCTTTTGGACATTGACATTTCGATAATTTTTTTCATACATTTTAGCACATTTTCATAGAGGCTCAAGAAAAAGAACACTTTTTCTTAAAGAAATGGTTGCGGTCTCCCGCTTTGTGCCAAAAGAGCACCCAAACAGAAATGATTAATTTCTCATATTCCTATAGATTCTACTTTTGAGTCAAAGAGCGATTAATTTTTATTGGTCTATCAAAGGTCAATATTTTGTTGTTGCTTTCAATCAGTTCTTTGATACTGAAGCGCAACTTGCCTTTCTGACTGTCATTTTGCAGACTAGAACTAACAGATGCCTTGATTTAACCTAAAACTACCCGAAATTCTGTAAAATTGGTTATGTATCTTTAGAAAAATCTTAATATTACGGGATCTTGGAAGATATTTCAGAGTATTATTAAGTTTGTCGACCGGAAGTGCTATGCAGCATTTTGAAACGTCTTCCAATATCCCGTAATATTAAGATTTTTCTAAAGATGCATAGCCGATTTTACAGAATTTCGGGTAGTTTTAGGATAAATCAAGGCATCTGTTAGTTCTAGTCTGCAAAATGACAGCCAGAAAGGCAAGTTGCGCTTCAGTATCAAAGAACTGATTGAAAGCAACAACAAAATATTGACCTTTGATAGACCAATAAAAACTGACATTTCAAATAAAGGGTTAAACTATATGTTTTTCTGGGTAGATAATGGAACAATTCGAATGTCTTTCTAATGTTTCTGTCGAGTATACATTTACCATTCAATTGTACTAGAAATCATATTCAGCGAAATACACATGTCAAACTCAAAGAGTTACTTCGAATATTCAATCGAACTATTGATTTCTACACCTAGTGAATTTGTTTCGCGAAAAAGTTAATTCGCTCCTATAAATTAACAATGGGACTGAATATGTGTGAATGTAAAAGTTTTCAACATTTTCATCTTTCGACATTAATAGGATAAATCTGACGCACGTTTTGTTTCCGTTTTGGAGATGTACTCTCACGAGATGGGTGTTACATGGCTCTTTTGAAAATTATTGTATGTCTGACGTCATTTTCATTAATTGAGATCTTCTTACTAGAACGATCAATGAGATTAATTTTGTTGATAAATAATGTTGCATTTTCTTCAATGAAAATATTTCTTGCTTCATGAAGTTCTTCAGTTAATTGAATTAATTTTTGTTTGAGTTCATTCAAATAGTTCTCATTGAATTTTGTTTTATTGCGAATATGTTTTAATTGTTCAGTTAAATGAAATAATTTATAATCTATTTGTTTAAAAGATTTCTTTATGGATTTTATAAAATTTTGTCGACATTTTTCAGCAGTTTGTTTTATTCTAATAACTGAATCATTTTCCCATTGATCAATTTGTTTGATTAATGCATGTTCGTGTAGATTTTGTTTATGTTGAATAAATTCTTTTAGAAATAAATTTTGATCATTTTCAATTTCATCCATTTGTTCGATAAGTTTTTGACGATATTCTTTGGAAGATTCTGTGCATTCATCGATGATTTTTTCTTTTTCATATATAAAACATTGTGTTGTGCTATTTGCCATGGTCATGTATGAAACGATTCGAGAGAATGATAAAATGGGATGGATAATTGAAATTATGCAAGAAAAATGAGATGTGTCGCAATATATGTAATAACAAAAAATGAGTCATCGATGAAAATGAGATATATGAGTAAGAATATTTTTCTTTCTCTTGAAATTTAAAAAAGAACAACTATCGCTTGTCTATTAAATATCTTCCCATTCACTATTCTTCTCTTCTACTTACGAGGAAACATACCAAGGTGTTCAAGCCGTTAAGGCC